CTTTCCACCCGACAACCGACCACTTCCGCATTTTCCAACGGTGAAGAGCGCGCCAAATAAATAAATAAACATTTGGATTGGAAAAGTTGGTTGCTGGCTGAGCAGAAACCAAGGAATGGAAAACATCCGAGAAGCCTGGGCAAAAAAAGCGTCCGACGTCAGCATTTCGCGAAAAGCCAAAACGGAAATATTTTGCATTAAGTTTGGATAAATTTCATGCAATAGTTTTGGATTTTCGTCTTCGCCAAAGGAGAGCACAAAAAATTGGGATGGGCGAAACTTCTCGTTTCGCCAAATATATTCGTGTTTGAACAACAGTGAATTGATGTTTTGGAAATTTCAGCGGAATGCAAGAGGACGAGCTTTCAGCACAAGAGAAAATATTTGAAGTGTGTTGGAACGAATCTCAGCTTTTCATTCCAACCCTCAAGCGATCTTCCCAGCGCCAAATCCTATTTATTGCTATGTTTTCGTGGCCCTTTCTTTTTCACTGTGTTGCGTGGTTGAAATTCCTTTTAAACACCCTCCTCGAATGCACGCCAATTTGGCCCAGCCATTCGTTCTGTGACGGCAAAATTGAATGCATGTTTTTCACATTTCTGGAGCCTCTTTTTGCAACCACGAAGATGTATCTATCTTGGGGTGTCTTCTAAGAGAAGAACGAGTTGAATTCTTTGTTGAAAAGTCCCCGGCATCGATTTATCTTTCAGCCAGAATCACTGAAATGCACTCAGAAGCTATGGTTGCTCGCAGGGGGTGAAGAAGATCAAATATCAATGCATATTCTTTGATGAGTGAAGCACAATGTCTTCAGAAAATTCTCTGCCAGACGCTGCATAATTTAATCTCCGACTGTTTCTGTTTTTGCATTGAAATTGAAGTTAATTGCCCCTCGGCGATGCCAATCTTTCTTTTTTGATGTTTTCGCCAATGAATCAACGCACTTTGCAATGAATGAGTGTGTTTTTCATCTATTTCTGCATTGAATCGCTGTGATAAATCCATCACAGAGTGTCTTCTTCTATTCGGTTGGAAAATTTACCGAGGATTTTTCTCCCGGACATTTGCATTCTTGGATGAAAGTTTGTAATTGAAATGCCATAAATTGGGTGAATTTTCTTTCGTTTAGGACAAGTTATTTCTCTTCTGCCATGCGGAGTGAATTTCCAAGTGCGAGAGGAGGACAAAAGTTCCTTAAGAAGGAGAAACAGAGAGGGAGAGGATGAGAAATGGGGTGAATATTGATGATACAAACATTTATACACACTTCTGGGTGTACGTGAAGACAAATAGAAAATAAAACCGACAACTTTTATAATAAAACTTTTGCAATTCATTTGAGAACAACTGCTTCATGGTGCTTTTTTCTCTCCTCCTGTCCTGTGTTTTGTATCTTGGCTGCCTCTTCAGATTCATCCCACAATGCTGGCGCGATGGAGGCGCCGGGTGTCGATGGCGACGCCTGGTCAGAGGCGCGGATTCGGAGGAAAAAGTGCTGCATCCTCAGAGTTTGTTTCCCTCTCAGAAGAAAAGTGCAAGCCATGAGAACAGTGTGTCTCTGAGAGATGCCATTTTTGCACACTCATACATCAACTTCTTTTTGGGTGTTCCTTCTTTTTTGCTCCCATTTCCCGCTCACACTGTGTGCCATGGTTGAAGAATATAGTGTGCAGACATAATGTCTGGACTGCGGCTATAAATCTGCACATGGTGTATAACCTCCTTTGCTCCACAGAATTTTTATCGTTCTAATGCCAAAGTATCTGTCGATATACGCATTAATCCCATTCCGCCCTTCAATAATTACATTCATCCACTCCGACGGCCGTTTTTCACGTCCACAGAGACAAACACAGAGCCAGCCATAAATAATTTGTTTACCCAAAAAATCACTCCTCGCGCGTTCAATTCCAACCATTTTAATTGCAATTGCGACTCCTCGAGTGAACTTCCTCGTGAGCAATTTTCCTCTGGTGTGCGACAGAGATGAGAAAAGCTGTGGCAGAAAAAGGCTGGAGGAAGAGAAATTAAATTTATTGGATATTTTCTCAATTTATCTCCAAACGAGGATGAGTCTTTCTTCATTCATTCAATGTCACCCAAGACGACGATAAAACTATTACCTTCCTCCCAGAGCAAGTCTCTGTGCCAGCCTGTCCCCTGCTGCTGCGCCGTGTCAATAAACTGCCTCAACTTCAGCTGCAGCCGAAGAAGAGTGTATATTCTAATGGGAAATTGACGACTTTTTATGATCACTTGAGTCCTGTGCCAAGAATTAGGGTGCAACTCAAATTGGAAAGATTTCTTAGGGCACTGGGAAATTTAAGTAAAGTGATGGTTCAATCTGGCTATTTATGGTGGTCAGGACTAGAAGTCTCTGCTTGTTTCATCAAAATATTTTGTAATAATTAGCAAAACACTCAATTAAACATCAATTCAGTGTACAAATGTTCGAATACGGCAAATTGACGAAGTCTCAGTGTGAGGCGGTTTGTTTAAATTTTTGAAATTTTCATTGCCTTCAACACAACGTCTCGTGAGGCCAGTTGCAGTCCCACTTAATGGACAAATTGAACATGAAATCTCCGGTCCAAATAATCTCCCCTATGAATTGTGATGAAAACTGGAAGGAAAATTCCTCACTGGCGAGCAAATGTGAACTGGTGAGAATTGTTGGAACATATTAGAAAGTAATAATTTTAATTTATAGACTCTCACCATTCACACTTTCACCCGGCACGAATCTGGCGGAACATTTTTCCCCCTTGCACTATATATGGGAGTGTGTTTTGCCACTTTTGGGGTCTTGTTTTTCTCTCCCCCATCGGAATGCCCCGAAATATAGTTTCCAGATCACACACCACATGGGCTGGGAACAGTCCGCAAATCGCCTCACACACTCCCCATACATTTGGTGTGCGCGGCGAGTTCGGCAGAGATAAAGAAAATGAAAACAATACATCATGGGGCATTTGAACATGACGTTTTCGTTTCGCAGCTATATTTTATATCTTTCTCACATACACTCTGGGATGCTGCGGCCCCCTGGGAGGCCTCCTGCCCAGGGGTTGGGCCAGCTCAACTTTGGCTTTCTCAACTTCTTTGCGCCTCCGCCAGCTGACCGTCCTCGGGGTGGTGGAGTCCACGGAAGGAGCGCTGTCTTGGGGGAAGTAATGGAAGGAAAACTTCCTTGGGTAAAAAATCTACTCACTCTGTCGAAGGAGAATCAAGAAAACTTTTGAGTCTCTCTTAGATTTTTCATATTAATTTTTTTTTTCTTCTTAATTCTTCAGCTTAACCACAATTTCAATTCCTTATACAAATTGCCATGTGAAAACTCTCTCGTCTTTCGCTTTATACTCCTCTTTAATCTTCTTCACGGTCTTTTCACTAGGCACACAGTGGCGTTGAAAAAAACTTCTCCGCTGCACACATTGAATAGCACTTTCTCACTCCCGCCAATTGGTTGAAATGGGCGTAAATGTATTTTATAAATGTGTAATGCAACTTTATGAATCCATAAATTTTACGGTGCGGTGGTGTATTCAATTATTTATGAACTCGCGCGCGTTCCATGTTCGCACTTTTAGTAACTAAATCATTCTCACAATACATAATTATTCTCCGAGCCACCCACCCCACCCGCCCCTCTATTAATATTGCAACAGCACTCGTGGCTTTCGGCGGGGCGGCTCTCGTGGGGGATGATTTGAAATAGAAACATTTGTTCCCTCTGTTGAGAGTCCTGTTGGCCCGGCTGGAGAGTCCTTTTTACCGGGACATGAGTCATAAAGTGCATTTTTAAGTAGCGTTTGAAAGCTCCCACTCTTCGCAAAGTGCTGGGATTTGCCATAAACTTGCCAATTTGAGTGAGTGAAAACAGCCGAATAGTAGGCAATATAAATGAACGTGAAGCGAGGGAAAGAATTCAGTGGGAAGATATAAAGTTGCCACGGCTCATGCTCAGAGCTTTTATGCTGAATTTATGGGCGATGTGTTTTGGGTAGGTTCGCTGAGATTCACTCCGTGTGTCGCCTTTTCGCGTGTAGATGGCCCAACATGACTCATGTTCGGAATTTCTGTTTTATGCGCCGCACCATTGAATTGCCCATAGAGTCCATCATCTCGCACTAAGACTCCTAATATACCGTTGATTGGATTTGCGGAAAGGCAATCTCCGTCCATTGAAATCTCTCTGGAAGCACCATCGATAAGGTGGTAATATTCAGTGGACAATCTTGTACCCAAATGACTCCCAAGACAATCGTGCGATGCGACGGTGAATAGAGAGTATCTCAGACTTGATGCACAAATTTGCCTCTCCATCATCCCAGTTCAATAATCGAATTTCCTCTAGCACTAATTCACTTCCGCAGAGGAATTACAATTCCGGCCCAATTGGATTTCCTGGAGGGTGGTTTTCACCCCCCAGTGCTGCCACCTCTTTCCGCCGGGCCACAATTACGGCTCAGGGGACACTTTCTAGTGCTTTTTTGTCCCTCAGAGTCCTTTTATGCATGAATTAGGGGTGATATCTCACCCTCTGACTGCCTGTTGTACTCCTCCTAAGGTTTGAGTCTTCAATAAAAGTTCACCCCGAGGGGCAGCTCAGTAATTAACTTGAGGTTAAGGTTAGTTTAGAGTACAGCTATTAAAATTTAGAAAAATGTGTTTTTAATGATGTTTTATTGTGTCTTTGGAAAAGTTTTAGATCTTCTTGAAAAGGATTAAGGATTTTTTGTGTCGTGACTATTAAAATTGAGTCATTTATTGAAATATAACACATGCAGAAATATTTTTCTTAAACATTTAAAGCATTCATACAATCAAAATAAAACAGTTTGCAATTGCTGTCGCAACAGATGAATCTTATAAGGATGCAATCGTGAGAACAAAGCCGCCAAGCAAGCCACAAAAGTCGTGAATTGAGCTGCCCTTCAAGCATAGAACAAGCAACGATGAGTGTGTACAAGGAGCATAAGAATGTAAAAGAAAGTGTGTCCATTTATTAGTTTTTATTGACAAAGAAATTTTCTCTTTCAACTTCTTAAATTTTACTGCATGTTTCACAAAAATCTCATTAGTGTTCCTCCTCTTCCGTTCGGGAGCCTTCTGTCCACATTTCTTGTAATTTACACCTTATAATACTTCACTTTTATTCCATCATCCAAGTAATTTCCCGGGCATCGACCATGAATTGCAATGCCCGCTTTCTGGCTTACTCCATCTCAATAATAATATAAATAACTTATTATTAACTAATATTTTATCTCACTTTATCAATTTATTTCATTATTTAAATATATTTTGTCCACTTGTGAGATAAAATATTCACCAACGTTTCACTCTCACTTAATTTTTTTTTCTTCTCCATTTTTATCTAAAAGATAGACTTTTTTGTTCTTTACGTATACATTCTGAAGGTATTTCAAATAATTCCTCAATATCTTTCACTTCTTTTGTGTGTCATTTCTAGTAAAATTATGTCTGTTCTTCTTAAGATTCCTAATAAAACGACTACAAATCTTTTATTCTCTGCTGTGAATGCCTTCTTTCTGGAGCATCTCCACTTTGTTTACTCCTTCTCTTCTCCTCCACAAATATTTCTAGTGACCTAAAAAATAGTGTTTTCCTTTTTTTTTACTAGTTTCTCCAAAGGTTTTCTATTTCTTCTCAATTTAGTATACATACTGTATGCAGGGAAATTTTTGAAAATCCACCTTGTCGCCAAGGTGAAGTTCGCAAAAGATTTCTCACGTAAAAAATGTACAATGCCTCAAAATTTTTGAAAATAACCTTTTTTTTCCTTTATGCAAAAGAAGAGTATCTAAATTTTGGCTAAGTCATCTAAATATGGGTTTTAATTAGCTGCAGTGTCTTTTAGTTTTTGAGGAACGCGGGATGGATGATGCCTCATGAGAAATGAAAGAAGTTTTTGCAAGGAAATGACTCTGATTTATAAAATGCAATGAATCTCATGTGAAAAGACTGCAATAAAGTGGCTTCTTTACAACTATTTTGGAAGTTTTTCTTTATCTCCTCACTCCATCTTCTTGTCTTCTTCTATGGCACTAAAACTTCATCTAATTGAGCTGAATTTCTAAGGAGGGATTCATTCACTCTCACTCACTACACGCTAAAATGTGTATCTGGGCGTTTCTTCCATCGAAAGGATATTTTTAGTGGGACTCGTGTTAATCTCCTTCAACGTAAACCACCTTTTTTTTAAGTACTTCTGCCCATTTCATCTCCTCGTCGTCACAGAATTTCCTTGTGGGCGAATTTATTCAATATTTTGGAAATATATTTTCAGCAGAGAGAGACCAAATAAATCACTTTCATTACGTATTTTCGTTATATTTTATACATGTCACATTAATTACGTATGCTTTATTTCTCATAACACTCTCTATCATGCTCTTTCTCTTCAGCGTTCAACTTTAAACAAATGGTCCGATTTCATCTCACTAATCTCTTGCAGGATGAAGAAGCGCAAGCTAAAATAAGTTAAAGCTCTATCGAGAAAATGCTATGCTCAAATGTCCAGGAAAATCTTCTGTAGTTGATTGAATTCTGAAAGCTGAATCATCAGTGTGTATTTTCGCGAATCTCATCTCTTGAGAATGTCTTTAATTTTTTCACAATTATTCTTCTATTTTTTTTATGACAATAAATAATTATTGCAAACATTCTGATAGCAAAAATATACACTTTACACAGATGCGGATTCACATTCACTGGGGCGCTTTAATACTTCCTTTTATACATAATAAAATTTATAATATATATTTTATTTATATATTTTATTTAGATGTCCACTTCTAAAAATTTTTTACTTCTTAATCTTTTCCATATACTTTTTCTTCATTCAATAATTTTTCTTGTTCACTTTTTGGCGGCTTCAACAAAAGGAATCCTTTGCGATATTATCCAAACGATAAAATGTGTGTGTGTGTGTGAGTTTCGTTTACTTCTGGTTCGCATTATTCTTATTTTTGAGAGGAAACACGAGGAAAAAGAAGACATGATAAAAATTCCATTTACACATTACAAAAATATAAACAAAAAATTCAACAAAATAAACCTATAAGAAGTAAATTCTTTACAAAAGTTTCTCAGTTAGTTACACCTAAATACAAAAGAGTATTTCATCGCTCTCACAAACTCACATGAATTCTTATTGGATCTTCTTTTGTGAAGTTGGGAATAAAACTCAACAGGCAAATATCATTTAATAAAAATATATATCACCATTGATTTGCAAAATTGCGAGAGAGAAAAGAAAAGTCGTCAAACTTAAATTTGGAGTGATAAAAATTTGTCGTAGAATTGTGCACAGAATCATCCAATAAAATTCACACACTTTGAAAGTCAACATAAATGTGGTTTTTTTTGGTACCCTATTTTGTACAGTTTTCTGCCCTTTTTCGCGCGCACAAAAAAAAATCAATAAATAGCCGAAGACGGGAAGTTGATGAAAATATTTTGTTCTGTGAATATTCCATATACTTTTTCTTACTAATTAATTTAATATTGCCACACGATTCTTAAGTCTACGCTTTTTTTACTTCTTCCACTTCATGCTCGGTTTAGTTTGGGAGGGGGGGGGGGGGCGTGGAGAGAAAGAGATAGGAGCGCCTTCGAGTGTGGCCGAGGAATGGGGATGGAAAATGTCCCAGCAAATCGACCAGAAGAAAGTCACTCCTATCAATTCAATATGACACTTAGAACATTAACTTTATGCTTCAATCTCATGTGATTCTTCCGCCTGTCGCCGTATAATTTTCACATTGTCCTCAGACGTCCGTTTCTTGCTTTGATAAATAAATAATTTATATTGGTATATTTTACATTTATATAATTTACGCTAGGCTTCACTATCTTAGAAATGTTCACTGCTTTTGTCTCTCAAATCATGTGTTATGTGTGTATGTGGGTTGCCTATTCACAACTTACTGTATTGGTAGGGCCGTCCTTACTGATCCGATATGACTTGGGCTGCCGCCGCGGCGGCCGCCGCCGCCTTCTGGGCCTGCGCCTGCTTCTCCTGCTCATTGAGCTCCTTGATGGCCTGGATCTCCTTCTTCAGCTTCATCCGGCGATTCTGGAACCAGATCTTGATCTGTCGCTCCGTGAGGCAGAGGGCGTGGGCCATCTCGATCCGCCGCCGCCGCGTCAGATAGTGGTTTGTGTGGAACTCCTTCTCCAGCTCCAGTGTCTGGTACCTCGTGTACGTTTGCCGACCCCGCCGTCTCAAGCCGTTGGCACCTGGAGGGAAAGGTTGCACAAATGCATTATTGTGTCTGCAGTGAGGCATTTTCTATGAAATTCCTATGCATGAAGACAAAACTCTGAGAAGGATTGCAAATCAATGACTTCACACGCCCAGCACAGCGGGCGGAAGGGCCGATAATCCTCACCCTGGGTACCCTTCGGTGTAGCGAAAAGCAACCCCTGGGCGGCTCCTGAGAGGGTCATTATCGGAGAGACCGAATGGTAATGAACTTAATGATTTCGGGCTGCAAAGGCGGCTCAGGTGCACGAGGCAATAAAAGCTCGTAAAAGAGTTCATTTTTTGGACACGCTCTATGAATATTTAGTGACTCCTTGGCATCAGCATTGAGTGGTCCTTTGTTGAGAGGGTAAGAAATCCCTCCTATTTTTGCCACTTTGCCTTGATGGCCTCTTCACTGTGCCTCCCCCTTCGGCCATGAAGGTGTGCAAAAAGCATATGCTTCGCCGAAGATGTTCTGAGAAACCTACATTCGCTCTCAACACACAAGATGTACATTTCCATATGAGTGGAAAAAAAGATAGAGACATAAATTAATGAGTTGGATTGGATGGATTGGAAACGTGTTTATGAGAGACAAAGAGAAGGCAAAAAATGCAAAAGCATTTCTCAGCGATAGATTCATCTTTTACATAATGGTGAGAGAGAAGAGGCTACACAAGGCCAAGAGACACCATTTTTTTCTCTCCCTCCCAGAGACAATCTTTGATGTTTTCATTTTGCCATTGATTTTAGACAGTGTGTGGAAGAAAAAATGCCCACAAATTTATTCAAGTCTTCTTGAAGAAGAGTTTCACTGTTATACAAGCCCGAGTAACAAATGAATGTGTATTTCTTCACGTGAAAGAAACACAGGTATTTCAGGTGAAATATGTCTCACAGCGAGCTTTTGCGAGTGGGGAGAGAAGACTGGCAGTGGAGAATAAATCAATATAGTGAATATTTGAAATATTTTCATGTCTGCGCAAAATGAACGGGCCAGCTAATTTCTCAATCATTTACCATGAAATTTCTTAATCATTTCCCTAATTCCAAAGCCACAGCGCTCAGGCCAAGAAGTCACACACACGCAGAGTCAAAGATGGCAATCACCCATGAAGACTGACGGTTCACGAGTTGGATTCATGGAAAATTGATTCTGGCGTCCGGTTTCGGTGCACATTTGCAAGCGAGTGTGTGTCGTTATATGTATGGGGAAAAGTTCAAAAGTTCCCCGTAACATATATACTCCGCTTCCCTAAAAGCATGGTGAGGTCACATGGAAACAATAGACCGTTAGATTCCTCGAGTTGTCGTCTGGACTCCTTTCGGTCACGAAGCTCACTTTATCGCTGCTGCTATTTAGATTTTGATCAATGTGCCTTCCTCAGCAGAGGTCGCCTGAAGAAATCCTCTCGCAATTGAGCCATAATTATTCATAAAGTCAAATTCATTCACTGTTTAACATCCAACTTGAATTAATTCACAATTTTTGTTACATGTTCATTAGCAGGGCTTTTTCACGCGCCAGCATTTGCATTTTATTGGCCATTCCAGTCACTATTCGTCTTACGAGAGCCAATCAATTTAATTTAAATGAGCAATCTCCCGGAGGCCGCAAGGTAGATTTTGCTACAATTTTCTACGATTAAATAATTTGCTAAGTTGATAACTGAGCAGATCATGTAAATGCTGCACTCTTGAGGCTGCAATTTAAGGGACAGATGCTTCAAATTTGCTGAACTAACATTTCAGTTGTGTGGCACCTAAAAAAAACTTCGCAAATTCTAATGGTGAAAACACAGCATTTGTAATTTGTAATTTGTCCGCGATCATCTCTTTCTTCCCCTCGCGTTTCGTGTATTTTCTTTCCTACTCTGTCAGCGTCCGACTCTGACATGTCGAGACAGCCACTGTGCGAGTAGGAAGGAAAATACACGAAACGCGTGGGGAAGAAAGAGATGATCGTGAACAAATTACAAATTACAAATGCTGTGTTTTCACCATAATAATTCTTCTTCAAATTTCAACTTTTTGCCACATTTTTGCGCTGAATTGCCTGCAACTTAACACTGGAAGGCACTTTAAGTGGAGAACAAGGTTTCCTCTGGAGTACTTTGGCCTCAAATTGCACCCCACCAGGACAGGTAGCACGTGAATGGGGTAGGATTTTTTCGTGGGCCTGCAAGTGCGGCGAAATAATGAGAAAATTAATTTATGCGCAATTGTTGGAAATTAAACAAGAGCCACCGCAAGCCAACAAAATGCCAGAGGCGTGGCCCTCATAGCAAAACAACCTCATGAATAAATTACCAGTCCATATTGCAAAAGGAGATACGCAGTGGATCCCATATTTGGCGGTCGGGGGCCTCATCTTGGCGATTTCGGCTGCACCTGATGATTGCCGGGATTGGCGAATGGTGCGGGATTTCGGGAGTCCAGGGAGAGTGCAACAGCATGAAAATGTCTGGAATGGGCGCTGTATTTTATGCGTCGCCTCGACGTGGCGATTTATAAGTGCATTTTGGGATATATAGCGCAGTTGAGTGTGTATGAGATAATGAAATTTAAATTGGAGACATAAATCAGCATTTTCGCTACTGCGGTTTGTCGCTCCGGCCAACCAGTTCTGGTCGGGAAGCTCCGAAAAAAGCCCGTGGCATTTATCCCTCGTGGGGGAATTTCTTCGCTTAAGCTCCCGCGCACCGATCAATTTCCGCGCGAAAGCTCGCGCCAAAAGCTCATCCATAAATTGGGCAATGGACAATGTGGTGGAGCATTTTGGATGTACTACAAGCATTGTTTAGATGCTGTGAACTGATACTTGACGCCACGATGATTTATTCACTGTGTAAGATTTACGAAAGTGTCATACATCAAATTGCGGGGATGAACACTGCACTGAAAATTGCCAGCCCCCCATGAAATTTGTCACCCGCCATGCCACGAAAATTTAACACCAATCTGATGTGGTCGATTCTCCGCTGCAATGAATTTTCCACCAGGCTGGGCAAATATAGGAAAAATTTTATTTATTTCCACCCACTGCGGTCCATTTATACACCCGATGTACATAGCAACCAAATTCACTGCTAACTTTCGGGACAGACATTCCTCTGAAGAGGGTGAAACTATTCTATTTAATTTAGTCTGACCCAAAAAGCTCTTCAACCCCCATTTCGGGGGCGCTCTGAACTTCCCCTCGCAAATCTTCACAAATCGTTCCTCCTCATGAGGGGGACAATTCGTACAATTGACCGTGGGATGACCATTAATATCATGAATCGGCCGCACTAGATGGCGCTGCGGAGTGCGGGCTCGCGAGACGCTGTGAGAAATTGCGTGAGGACCGGAGAGAAATACTCTCTTCGCCAGCGTGGCCGCTGGAAAGCCATAAAATTGGATTGGACATAATAAATGAGAGTCTTAATGAGATTTTAATCATGGTCCCACTGTACTACGCCGGAGGAATTGGAGTGGAACAGAAGAAGTCAATGTGGACGCTCGTGAGCTAATTGACTAGACAATTGCTGTTCTTACATTGTTCGCCATCTCGCTGTGCCCTCGAGGGTGGGCGAGGTGTAATGCTTTATGGGCTTTCCTATCAATTCCACCCCCACCCGCATTTGATTAATGCTCAGACTGTCGCCCTTATCAGTCTCTGTCGTCTGAGAAGTATGAAGTCCTCGCGCTGGCGTGGCTTTTTGCTCGGCGAAGGGTGGAGAGATGGCAGAAAATGCTCCGCGTCTCTCTGATGTATTTTTGTTTTAAAAGAGAATTGCATAAATAAGAGGGTGGCACCCAATTAAAGCGGCAACATAAATCGAGAGTGGCTGAAAAAGAAGCGAAGGAGAAGAAGCTCCTCCATTGTGGGACACCAAAGCGGGCATAACTCATCCTCCTCGGCAAGCATCTCACACCATGAATGCAAGTAAATATGTATTATTTAAGAAATTGACTCTGGGGGTCGCCCGGCTCTTTGCATGCAAGAAGTACAACCCCGAGTCTTCGAGGGTATTAAATTACAAGTGAATGCGGCACCCCTTGAAAGACAGCAAAACCCGCCTTGGCGAAAAGAAAGCCAGTGGTGGAGAGTGTCGGATGTCGGTGAGTTAACTAATGTACAAGAGATACCAGTTGAATAATGAGGTGATGGTGAAGTTGTGTGTTTAAGCATTGGAACATCACATTTCACTTCCCACCAATTTCACTTTTGTGAATCCCCAGGAAAGCGCCAAGGGATGGCACGGCAGGCAGAAGTAATAGAAATTCCCGCCTGCCTATATTGCACATTTTTGCCGCATGATGGTGTTTCTCCATCGAAAAGCCATTCGAAATTACCTGCCACGACTTCGCCGGTGATTTATGCGAATTTAATTGTCAAGCAGTAGGTTTAATTTGTCACGCATAATTTAATATTCAAATTTACTTATTAAGTTTCAGTACTGAGCCACCCCATTTGTGATATATTTGTCACAAAATCGAATTTCAGGGGGTGCGCGCGCGAATAAAAAAGACCATACAGTGCCTCCAATGGAATTAGTATCACATCTAGAGAAGCGCTGGAGAGTGTCTCGGGGTAACTCACCCCTGCCAAAGGAGGGAGAGCCCCGAGGGTGAGTGGGCCTTTTTTCTCGCTATGAAATAAGGGATGCGCACGTTTTTGGTACCTCCTCATTCGTCTTAGGAATTCCACAGCGACAAGAGCCATAAATCACGCCTCACCCTCCTGCTCATTTTCTCATTTTCCCGCCCCCGTTCTTCTCCAGGAGAGATATATGGGTTCACTTTCTCAATGGCGGCGGGGGTGGGCGAAGCGCACCTCGCCATCGCTGGAGTTTCGTGGCTCCGAGGGGATATGAAGATAGTTCGGGGTGAAAACACTTCTTTAAACGTGTCTAGAGACACTTTCCTGCACTGGGCTGAATTTGACTATATGGCTTTTCCCCATTGACGAGTGGAGAAAGAATAGAGGCCGACTGGATGCTCAAATGGG